AGAGATCCGCCTGCCTCTGCCTCCCCAGTGCTGGGATTAAAGGCGTGCGCCACCACTGCCCGGCTGAGGTTCAGAAATGTTAAATGTTTGTTTTGTTGTGATAGTCTTAAAGTTTTTGGTTTTGCTGTTGTGTCTGGAAAAAATTCTAAAAACAATTTCCCCTTCTTTCTCTAAGTACTGTTAAGATTTTGTATTTGCATTTAATTTGGGTGAAGTTAATTTTCATGTATGCTATGAATTATACATTTAACTTAATTTAGGTTTTCTCAAATAATTATCTTGTTATTTTAACATCATTAAGAAATTTGATGTCTGCTACAAGAAATTATTGTATCATTTCCCCAGAATTGGAAAAGAGGATGTTTGTGGCAGGTTCTATCCAATGGTATTTTGACCTGAATTAAGGTTTAACAACCTCCTGGCTTTGTCTTTGGTTGATGATATAGTGACCATGATGTGTCAGCTAGCCAAGGTTGTAAGCATTTCTTTCCTTAGTCTCTTCCGTTCCCTCAAAACATGTTTGCCTTAGGAAATGCCTTTAGAGGGCTGGTGAGATGGGTAAAAGCACTTGCCTCACACACCTGATGACCTCACACCCGATGACCTCATACACCTGATGGCCTCCCAGACCTGATGGCCTTGCAGACCTGATGACCTCATGCCTGATGACCTCATACACCTGATGGCCTCCCAGACCTGATGGCCTTGCAGACCTGATGACCTCATGCCTGATGACCTCATACACCTGATGGCCTCACAGACCTGATGGCCTCACAGACCCGTTGACCTCACAGACCCATTGACCTTATATACCAGATGACCTCACAGACCTGATGGCTTCAGCTCAATCCCCAGAACCATTGTAAAGGTGGAAGGAGATCACTGTCTCCACAGAGTTCTTTTCTGATCTCCACACACATCATGTCACACATGTGCCTGCATTCGCATGCACATATTCACACAATAATTGACATTTATCAGTTTGCTCAGTGATTAAAAGTTCTGCCCTGTGTACCATGTATGTTAATGACTTGTTTTGTTTTGTTTTGGAGCTGGGTACCAAATTCAAGGCCTTACACTTGCTAGGCAGACACTCTACCCCTGAATTCATCCCCTGTTCATTGTGGCCTATTTTTAACTACATGTCCTGCTATCAGATATGTTTTGCTGTTGCTTCACTATGTGAGCTGATAATTGCTCTAAGATGATCAACTCCAGTTTGCTTTGGCAGTACAAAATGAGTGTAGTATTGTCTTTGCTCTTCCTGTAATAGTATGGATTCCTAAGCCTGTGGGTATATATATATTTCACTGTTAATTGTAATTATATTCTCAGTACTGTAGTCCTTTTCTGACAGGTGAATAATTTAGAGATGATGATAGTCTTTAATTTACTGGATTTTTTTGTTTGTTTGTTTGTTTTCTGGCAAGAACTGGGAGTTGTTCTTATTGACAATGTTGACTGAATCTTGTAGTTGGTAAAGTATTGAAAGTTACAGAAGCAAATTCTAGCATCTAACTACCATAGAATATCAGCAAAGCAGGTTGACCTAAGTCGTCTTCTGTGTTTTCTTTGCTTTTTTGTAGAGAGGGAAATACGATGTTCCTAAGTGGCTGTCTCCCAGTAGCATTCTGCTTCTCCAACAGATGCTTCAGGTAAAGTTTGTTGTTTATTTTTAAATAATAGAAGCCCATTGTAATTGTTTGGTTTAACTTTTAATGTAACTGTGGGGCTGCGGCATTTATCATTATCTATTAGCTTAAAAAAGATTCCAATCATTATGTATCTTGTAAATACCCTTTCTGAGAATCTCTGCTAATCATGTTGTAAACACGGTTGCTTTAGACCTCGTCTGTCTTTGATGATGTGCTTTTTTAAAACCTTCATTTATTTATTGGTTTGTCTAATAATCATTCTGTTTTCTCTAGCTCTGGCTCTCCTCTCCATTTTCTTGTTTCTACTCCTGCACATTAGGCATATAAACTACTGAATAGATGCTTGGATGAACTGATGTGTGGTCTATGGGCCCTGTGATCTAGTGTGCTCTTCAAATCATGTGTCAGAATTGCCAGGTGGGCCTGTTAAAACACAGCTTACTAGGCCCTATCCCAGTTACCTGACATAACAGATCTCAGGCAGCACTAAGCATTTGCATTTCTAAAAGGCTCCTGAATGGTGTTGATGCTGGTGGTTTGGGACCACTTTGAGAATGACTCTGGTGGAATGATGGTGAACGGTGCTGGAGTCTAGGTGCTCACCCGCTTAACCAGTCAGTAAGCCTGTCTTCTAAGCTGTGGTCTATAGAATGGAAAGGGTGGGTCTGAGCCCATTTCACTGCTCTGTCCTGTGCTTTGGATACAATGAATTGGAAACACTTGGAAAATAGTGAATTATTTATTACGGTCCCTGAATATCTTCCAGTTTTTCATCGATTAAGTCGTCTTTACCTTTAATTTAAAATGTACCTCAGGCTCACCCACCTTGATTAAGTAGAGCCAGACCACCAAATCTCCATAGTGAGATTGAAAAATGCCTCAGCCTTTCTTCTAGACCCCAAAACTTAATCTTTGTTGATTAATTTTTCTCTCCTCACATTTGAACATCACAAATGGAAACGAAAGGTGTGCTTTTCAGCTTGTTCTATGTGATTGCGAGTGAATCGGAAGTAGAGATTGCATATTCAGTGTGAATGCCTGGCATTGCGCTTGCTTGAATACTAAACTGGTGACTATTTCCCATGAATAGGTTTTCCAGCAAAAAGACTATTACATCATACAATAGATTGACTGAACTTCATGAATAATGTCCATACCAATGAAGTTCGTGTTTGTTAAACATTTATCATGTAGGCCTGTGTTGGTTGCTATAGTTTTCTTGCCTCAATTGCCTTTTTAAAAGAATTCATTCCAAGGCCATTTTAAGGTCTTTGACAGTGTTGTTTGTGATGATAACGTTTACATCTGTTCTGGTGCATTTTGAGTTCTCAGGAGGAAAGGTGTTGTAGTCTCTGTTTGAAATGTGCTTCAATGGCCACTAGGTGGACCCAAAGAAACGGATTTCTATGAAAAATCTCTTGAACCATCCCTGGATCATGCAAGATTACAACTGTCCAGTTGAGTGGCAAAGCAAGACTCCTGTAAGTATAATGAAACCCAGTATTTGTTTTCAGAAGTTTGTGTGACTTCAGAACCTGTGATAATATGCTCTAAAGAGGAAAGAAAGTTTATTGTCTGGATCACTGTTGGGAGACTTAATAGCCCCGTCCTATATTACCTGTCAGTCTTTGAGCCAGTGAGTGGTTGCTTACCCTGTACTACACATGAGGATCACCTAGAACCTTAAACAGCAGGGCCTGGCTGAGAGAGTGCCACATGTCTCTAGTTACAGTATGTAGGAGACGTGAGCAGAAGTTCAGGAGTTCAGTGCCCACCGTCACCAGCAATCCCTGCTTTCCATCCCACAATATTAATGCGTGCTTTTAAAAGCTCCCGGCTGTTTTCCACGTGCAGTCAGGATTGTGAACAGTGCTCTGGGAGTCTTGAAGGAGTTATTTAACTTTGCTTAAACCTATTTATTCATCTGTAGAAATAAGTTCAACCCGTTCTGCTTCCCAGTGTAGTGACAAAATCATATCAGTTTCTAGACATCTGAGTTTGAGAGTTTTTTTTGTACCACATATATATATATATTCATTCATAAAAAAGTAACAGTAGGAGTTGAGTGTAGTGACACATACTTATAATCCTAGCACTTGAGAAGTTGAGTTTAGGAGGATTGCAAGTTTGAGGACAGCCTGGCCTATATACTGAGACTGTCTCAAAAGGAAAAAAGGAATCAATAAATATTTTTGTGAAGAAAAAAACATTGAAAAATAAATTTGATAAAAAAGTGGCATGTTGATGTCTTTACAAGTTTCTGTGAGGTCTGGCATAATAGCAGACACCTGTATAGTCTTCCTGTTCCTTCATTTAGAAAATGTAACCTCACCCAGACAGAGAGGGAACATGGGGAATATTTAATAGCCCTTTCAGATAGTTTCTGATAATTCCTTAAAGTATGGTCATTTAAAAAAAAAATACTTACTTTAGTTTATGTGTATGGGTGCTTGCTTACGTGTACATATGTATGTACACCATGTGACCAAGGAGGACAGAAGGGAACATGGGATCTCTTGGAATTGGAGTTGCAGGTGGTTGTGAGCCACCATGTGGCCGCTGGGAACCGAACCTTGATCCTGAGCAAGAGTACTGAGGACTATCTTTCTCTAGCCCTCAGTTTGGTAATTTCTTAAAGATTAGTTGCAGGTGGAATATGAAGTCAGTGAGCACTTAGGACTCTCATAAAAGTCATTAGTCTGTTCATGGGCTCTTTTTTTTCATGTACTATTCTGTACTGGTCATGTGGAAAATACTTGTGTGGCGCTGAGTGGTGCAGATTTTCCAGTGCTGACACATTTTCCAACACAGCATTAAAACAAAACAAAACAAAACAAAACACATTTCCTAAAGTCACTACTGACCTAATCGGAAAAGACATTTTCACTGTTGGAAAGCTGTCAAGCTTGTGTGACAGTCACTAGTTTTTTTTTAAACAATTCTTAATTTTTGCTTGAGAGATAAAATTGCATTGTTTACAACAAATACCATTAGTTAATTCACTTTGTTTGGCTTTGACAAAGTGTTTCCAAAATATCCCAGTTTGAATAACCAGTAGGAAGTGGTATTTTATGACTGAAATGGCTAATTGAAGATTTACTCTAGTCACATAGGTTCCTTACTCCAGATGGCAATGGCTTTGCACCTGACACTCCATCTTACACTAAAAACACACATGTTCGGTGTTGACATGTAATAGAATTCTTTCCCGTGCTTCAAGGACTTAAGAGCAACTGGCTTATTTGGGGGATTATGAGTACCTGACAACACCCTGTCCTGGACAGTTGGATTTCCATGGAAGCACCGGTTTCACCCCTTGCTTTGTGCTTTCAGTTCAGATGTCAGCACTGTGAAATGTGAGAATAGTATTGTAGAAGTAGTTTTGTGCCTGGAGGCCCTCAGCAGACTTCAGATCACACTTTAACAATTGGTTTAATATACCTGCCCTCATGACCTCTTGAGTCCTCACGGGCACATATAATGTATATACATGTGCATATCTCATATATACATAGTTTACACACACACACACACACAGACTCACCATATATGTAGCTAGAAAATGGAGGAGCATTTTTGTAACCTTTGCAGATAATTGAGACTTTTCTCCACTTCTGCTGTGGTGTATGGTATGCACATGGATTGGAATAGCTTGGGGGGGTGTGTCTAAGACATGTCACATGTAGACAAATGGGGCATTTGCTTTTTGAATAATCACATCAGTGAATATAATTACTCTTCCCACTAGCTAGCTAGCCTTAGAAAAGTAGACTTTTGCTTCAAGCATCTACTCTTCTCCCCACTGTTCGGGCCATACAGACCTAACTAAAACTCTTCCTGATTCTGCTTTGATTGTTAACTCTTACTCTATCTCTTATCCATATTCTTCCAGGCCTCCATGATATAGTGGCTATCTATTGAGTAAATGCAGCTTATTTAGAGATTACCAATGCTGAGAGACCATGAGTGTGTCTGAGCAGTTCAGCAGAAGAAACAGGGAAACTGATGTGTCCTTTGTGAGGTGGAGATTGGGGGATGCAAATGCCTGTGTTTAACCATTGGGGGTCATCATTTCTCCATGTGTAGAAGGCTTTGCATGTCTTTTGAGCCATGATTCTAATATGATAGAATACACTACTGCTCATGTTAGAAAAGTTACCAAAATCAAGTAAGTCTCTCTCATAGCTTGTTTGATTTTGAGACATAGTCTCATGTAGCCCAGCTCAGGCTTACTATGTAGCCAAGGCTGGCTTGGAACTTCAGAGCCTCCTAACTGTGTTCCTGAGGACAGTCTCTGATTTAAACATCAGAGGTTTTGTGTGTTTGTTTTCTGTTCTTTTTTTTTTTTTTTTTTTTTTTTTTTAATTTGGGGCATACTATAAAGTAAAACCTAGTTTTGAGTGTTCCCAGGGCATACAGTTTTACTTACATCTTAATATAATTGCTAGTCAGCTGTGGTAGCATACATCTATAACCCAAACTCCTTTGGTGTCTGGGCAGGAGGATGACAAATTTGAGGTTGATCTTGGAAACATAGTGAGACTGTGTCTTGGAAAAAAGAAAGGAAAACAAGCCAGGTGGTGGTGGCGCATGCCTTTAATCCCAGCACTCGGGAAGCAGAGGCAGGCAGATCTCTGTGAGTTCGAGGCCAGCCTGGGCTACAGAGCGAGTTCCAGGAAAGGCACAAAGCTACACAAAGAAACTCTGTGTCGGGGGAAAAAAAAAAGGAAAACAAATAACTGCTGATCTGGATGTGGTGCTAGATCTTGGGAAACCAAAGCAGGAAGACTGACATGAATTTGAGGCCAGTCTGGGCCACCTAATGAGTTCTAGGCCAGCCATAGCTACAGTGTGAGACCCTGTCTTAAAAAACAAATAAAACTATGGCTCAGAGGTTAAGAGCACATATTTACTGGTCTAGCAAAGGACCCAAGTTTGCATCCCAGCACCTGTAGCAGGTGGTGGCTCACAACATTCTGTAACTATAGCTCCAGGGGATCCAACACCTGACCTCCTCAGGTACCTAGACACATACACACAATAATACAAATAAATCTGTAAAAATTGCTAGTATTTGTTGAGTACTACACTAGCATGCTATTATAAGATTCAGGTTTTATATTTTACTGCGGAATGATATGGGTAGAACTCTTTGGATAGTACTTTTAGGTCAAGCATTATTCCATAGGCTTTGCTAACTCATTCAGGCTTTGACTAGCGCTCTGAAGTAGAGCCTATTATTTCCCTATTCTGCAGATGGAGCTAGGATGTACATTATCATGAAGTAACTTGTCCACAGTCGAGTGGCGAGTATGTGTAGAGTAGAAAACCAGAATTTGAATCAAGCAGGAGGGCTGCAGCATGGAGAGGACCTGGGAGGTCAACTGGATTAAACCCGGGTCTGTATCCTGCCTGTCTGCAACCTTTGTGGCAAGCCTTCCCTTTTTTTCATAGAATCATAGATAAGGAGCATCATGGCGTGGTAGAAAAGTCTGGGCCAGGAATCAAAATGCCAGTTTTGGGGGCAGATAGCTGACTTTTCTCAATCTTCATTTCATCACCCATAATCTGGACATTTTACTTAGTGTTCTGTCGTTCTAGAGGACCTTTACCCATCAGCTTACTCATCTGCTCTGCCTCCTTACAGAGCTGTTGCAGAGTAAAAATGAGTTGTAAATAGAAGAGATATAAGGATTGTTGTCGCTTTTTTAAATATTTGCTTTTTTCTTTCAGTAGTGTGTTATCAAGAATGAACTATAAAAATAATTCTGATTTACTTGGATATTTAAGACATAGATGCTGTAATAATTCTACGCATGATCTCCTCATGCTATTTTCATGCACAGCTCTAGTACCCAAGTATTGTATCAAATAGAAGTTATATTCAGTTCCATTTTCTGCCCTAGTGAACAGGAAATGTAGCAGGCACGGATAATCCGAAATAATTGGCTACTTTTGGACATGCATTTTTGTCCTTAAGCTGAGAGTTCAGAGCACCATCCGAGTCCCTTTGGAAGACTCAGTTTAAAATGAGAGTCCTTCTCAGACCCTTGTCACCCCTTTTTATTCCAGTTTAGGAGTCCAGGAGAAAGCACAGTACCTCCTTCTGTCCGCTTCTCTTCTGCATAACATGGTAGGTTTGCAGGGTTGGGAGGTGTGCAGAGGCAGGCTGCCTGTCTTTGCCTTTAAAAAAGGTTTGCGTGAATTTTTTCTTCTTCTTTTTTTTTTTGGTTTTTCGAGACAGGGTTTCTCTCTGTAGCTTTGCGCCTTTCCTGGAGCTTACTTGGTAGCCCAGGCTGGCCTCGAACTCACAGAGATCCGCCTGGCTCTGCCTCCCGAGTGCTGGGATTAAAGGCGTGCGCCACCACC